ATGGAGCTGCCTTTTGACCCAGTGATCCCACTTCTAGGAATATATCCTAAGAATCCTGAAACACTAATCAGAAAGAATATATGCACCCCTATGTTCATAGCAGCACAGTTTACAATAGCTAAGATCTGGAAACAGCCCAAGTGCCCATCAGTAGATGAGTGGATAGAAAAGCTGTGGGACATTTACACCGTGGAATACTACGCAGCTGTAAAGAAGGATCTTGTACCATTTGGGACAGCATGGAAGGAACGGGAGAATATTAGGCTAAGTGAAATAAGCCAGGCAGAGAAAGACAAACATCACATGATCCCACTTACATGTGGAACCTAAAGAACTTAATAAACTAATGAACAGAAATGATTCAGCAACGAGTCTCAGAGGGATGGAGGAGGGCAGATGGGTGTTGGGGGAGAGAGTAACCAAAGAACTTATATGCATATATGCACAACCCAAGGATACAGACAATGGTTTGGAGAGGGACTGGGGAGGGGGGTGGGACGGGGTGGATGGGTCATTGGGGAGAAAAAGGGACATCTGTAATATTTTGAACAACAACAACAAAAATTCACTGCTTTATCTCCCACCCCATCCCTCCCACAGCAGTGGTCATGCTATTCTCAAGTGAATGGAGAAAGGGCGTCACAAATTCTTAGTTCCCATAGTGATCCTCACCCAGGAAGTAAACATTTCATAGGGAGTCATTGTAGCACCTACATCTCAAGGCGACAGAGCCCACTGGGAAGCCTGACAGGAATGTTGACTTCTGGACACAGGGTTTATAAACACTGTGTGCCCTGAATATCATCCTAGACTAAATCACCATAGTGCACACAGTACTGATTTGAATCTAAAAGACTAGGTGAAATCAATTTGTTTCTTCACTTACTGTAATGGTAGAAAGTCTAAAGCATCCTTAAAACTATCACACTGGGCTGAGCATTGGAGGGCCAACAAAGATCTTAAGGAGAAACCTTTATTTTTCTCTCTTTGAGTCAAAGAATATTATGCTGAAGGAGACTTTAGTGACCACCCAGTGCAACCTACTCATTTTCCAGACAAGAAAAGTAAAGCCCAGAGAACAGATGGGCTGTCTCCCCTAGTCAGATGGGGCTTAAAAATATATATGTATATATATTATAAATATATATGTGTATTTTTTCCCCATGAGCTTTAGTGAAAGTGACCAGTATCATCTCATTTCCTGGCTTCTCAAGTCCAGGATCCAGCCAAATCTAACTGATATTCACAGCTTGAATATACTTCATACTTTCTTACCTCCACATTACGCCCCCATCACTTGGAATGCCCTACTTCACCTCTTCACAACCCCCCCGCCCCCAACTTCCATCTTTTGAAACAGCTTTCATCCATTGGTGATTAGCTCAAGCATACCATCTCTTTGATAAAAAATTCTCTGCCAAAATAAAATTTCTTTTGTCTACAACTACAACAACGGCACTTACAAACTACTTCTTATGAACCATGCTGCTTGCTTATATTTGATCTCATTTAGTCCTCAAAATAACAATCTGAGGTTGATACTATCTGTAGTCACATTTTACAAATGGGGAAACTGAGGCACGGGGAGGTTAAATCACTTTTCCAGGGTCACTCAGCTAAGAAGTGCTTTTGATGGTTTATTATAAATGTGCTACATATTATCATTATGCTGATGAAAAAAGAAAACTGGATTCTTTAATAGGGTACTTTTTTAGACAAACAAACAAATAAACGAAAACTGATTAATATATAGAGATTAAAACCATTTAGTTAATGGGCACAGAATTCCTGAAATTTTAAACCTTCCTTTGGTCTAAATCTGGTTAAAAGTATAAGGCATTGTTACTTGGATTTAATTTCAGGAGGTGGGCATGTAGAAAGTGTGCTGGGGCTGTTCTTTCAGGACCAAGTCCACTGACTGTGAGTCCTGCACCTCTCACCTGACGTCTGCTACACCTGTTCGGGGTCTAACTGGTTGGCAGTGTAAATAGTTTTTGCACAGTACACACAAGGCAGATCTAACTCACCTACTGGGGGTTTAACCTGAGCCCTGGACTTGAATACAATGGTTAGCTATGTGTGCATTTTTCTAGAGACAGGTTTCCTAATGTTTGCCAGATTCCCCGAGGGGTCTGTATATAACATACATTAGAAGGGTTGTCCCTGTCTCATAGGTATTGTGGAGCATTTTGGGAAAGATGGGAAGACTCTGTGGTAGGGAGAACAGATTTCTTGGATTGAAATGCGACATTTATTCCCTCTGGAGAGAGTGGGTTTGAGGAGAGGGTGTCCCTATGTGTTGATGGTGCCATTATCCTTATAGCTTTCAAGCTCAGGAGCTCAAGAGGCTTAGCCATCCCTACCACAGCACCTGACGGTTGGTGAGCCTGAGTCTTAGACAAATGGGGTGACTTATCCAAAGCCACACAGCTCAGGGCTGGGATAACTGAGAGTCCAGCTCTCATTCTGTTTCACGATCCCTCCACATTAGTTCAAATAACATCCTATTAAAGTGATGACAGTTACAAGGAAGAGTCCACCCAAACACCCAATATCCACACATGACCTGTGGAAGCAATGCTCTGTCATCTGGCTCCAGTGAATTTTATACAAGAAATTCCCCTCTTCTAATGCTTTCTCTGTTCCCCAGCTTTGTAACATTATTCTATAAGAAAGAACTGAGTGGATGCTAACTAGATTTGTTGTGGTGATCATATTGCAATACGTTATATACAAATATTAAATTATTATGTTACACACCCCAAACTATATAATGTTATATGTTAATTATATCTAAAAACCTTAAGAGAAGAATTGACTTGTGCACTTTTCCCACTAAAGGTAAAGGAGAATTAAACTGACCTATAGTTGGTGTTTTAATTTTTTTTCCTTGCCATTAAATACCTTTCATTCTTCAATTTCTCTCTCTCCTTCCTATCTCAAATACCTCCGCTCACCAGCACCAGGACACCAGAAGGTAAAAGATGGTGTAAGCATGAGAGTTTTACTATCCTAGGATAGTAATAATAGTAATCAGCACAATGTCCCAGTGTGTTAGAATCCACGCAGTGTGTATATCTCATTTGAACCTCAAAGCACATCTATACAGGAGCAAGGAATTATAATTTTCATTTGACACGTGATGAAACCAAACTTTTCTGAAAAGCAAACAGTACCCCTAAGCAGAATAACAACAACTTCTGTCTAACTCTGAATTTTACCCAGACCTTAATTTTAGTGTGGTTAACATGGGGACCAAAGTCTTTGGAAGATCCCAAATTCAGGACCCCAAATCCAATTAATTAACTAGATATACTTACGCATATATAGGCTAATTATATATGCAAGTATAGAGAAAGATGCATATATTACCACCTTTTCTGTCTAGAATATCCGTACTTTTGCTCTTAACTGGGAAAAAACTGAGGTGCAGAGAGAAGGTGATCTGTCCTTTCCCACTAAGTCAAAGTTACACCAAAGAGAACTATTGCTCCACAGTGTGGAAATGTTCTTCCTGGGATGTGGTTAATTTTAACACAGTGTTACCATAGTCAAGTACAGCGGTGCCTCGGTTTCCGAATGGACTCCGCTCCGGGAGACCGCTCGAGCTCTGAAAGGTTCGAAAGCCGAGGGATCACAGCCCACAGCTGGGCCTCAGGATCCTGCCCTCAGGGGAGCCGCGGGGCATGTTCGACTCCGAGGCGTGTTCGAAAACCGAAGCATTCACTTCCAGGTTTACTGCGGCGTTGGTAACCCGAAATGTTTGTCAACAGAGACATCAGAAAACCGAGGCACCACTGTATTGTTTAAGTAACAATACTCTTTATGTGCAAAGTAAAATCTGATAGTATCGCCAGCAGAGTCTTCCCCCCTTTTTAAAATAAAGAACTTCAAAGCAGAGTGAGAGGATTTTAATAAAAAAAACAAAGAGCAAGATTTCTAACATCTTTACCATGAATAAGCTCCATTCCTTAGTTGTTTACCCTCTAAAAAATTCCAGGTTTATTTTTTCCCCAACACATCATCTGTTGAAAAAATATTGTGTGTTTACCACCCCAGGTCAAGTCTCTATCACCCTTCATCCCCCCTGTACTCCCCCCCCCCAATTCCAGATTTTAAGAGAACAAAGATACCTAAAAATCTAAAATAATTCTGGCCCTCAAATATATTACAATTCTTAAGAAACCAGAGATAATTTAAAATCTAAAATAGTGCTAAATGTCAATTATTAGAAAATTATTTTTTCCTTTTTATGATCATTTTATCTTGGTAAACAATTTTTCTCAGTACTCTCCTTAAACATCACTATTTAAAAACTGAATCAAGAAATTGATGGTGTGTTGCTTGCTTTTGCCCAAGAGACACTTGTCATTTTGAAAGAACCCCAGGGCAAATCTTGAGTGAAGAGATTAGAGTTGAAGGGAATTTTACAAGGAATCAGTCTAATCTTCTATTCTGGGTAGTACTGTCATTTACAATAGACCTGAGAGGAAACCAAGCAGTATCTATTAGAATATGGCTAATGACAGGGAGCTCACTCCTTCACACAGTGTTCTACCCTTCTGTTCAGCAGCCCTCATCATTTTATAGTTATTCCTTTTTTTTTTAAGTAAAAATCAACCTCCTCTTAACTTTTGCCCAAACCTGACTCCTATGTGACACAAAGTCCCCTCTTGTGTCACATATGAATTCTGACGACCTGATTACTTGCTTCAAACTTTTGTTTTTCAGATGAAATACCTCAGTTTCCTTGATTTGTTTTCCTATACCTGAGGTTCAGGTACATCAATATCATCCTTCCCTAAGGATGTCATTATAATTTACCATCTATTATAATTTACTAGTCTCCCTTTTAAAATGTGCACCTCAAAATTTATGCACCTTTGGTAACTGCCAGGAGTTGTTGTTGCTGAGAAATGACTCTTGCTTTATACAACCAGCTCTCTGTTGCTCACTGCACTCAGTTTCAGTGACAGTGGGTCTATGGCCTGAGGACCTACCTTTGCCAAGGTCTCATCATCCAGGTGATTCTTCTGAATCACATGTTGAAGTGCAAAATAAATCTTTTCCTGAAGCTTCTGGACCTTCCTTGGTTCTATCAGCCAGGCTCGGTCTGACAAAGGAGAGGAATGGGTGAGCAGGGGCTGGAACGTAAGCTTTGTTTTATTTCACCTACATGTACAAGGGCTGAATTTTGGACCCATTTCAAATTAGTTCCAAATTACTTCTGAAGTTATGTAACTTTTTATAGAGAACATAAATATTCTATAAGCATCTCCATGATGACAGGGATGCACAATACATCGACATAAGAAATCAGGATGGCGGTAAGGAACCCATGGTTAAATAAACTCCTTCATGTTTATTATTGTCTGTGACAATTTATATCTCTCACACCTTTTCTGGACATATGCTGAGATTTTCTTTCAAAGTGGAAGTTAGTGATTTGTGAAGAAATGAGCTATAGAAGTGAAGAAAATTTATTGTACAGGAATATTTTTGGTATTAAGGACCCCCTTTCCCTTTTATAAGCTATGTTATCATTTCTATAGCATAAACATAAATCAAATTTAAAAATTTTATCCTGAGTCTTCTTTTTCTATATTGAATTTTTAAATGGTGAATAGGATAAGCCCTCTATTCCTGTCTCCCTTCCTCCTTTCCTTCCTTTTTACTCTCCTCCCGTCCTTCCTCCCTCCCTCTCTTCATTTTATCCTTCCCTCCCTCTTTCCCTCCTTCCTTCCTTTCTTCCTAGAAGCTCTAGACACCATGGTGACAAAATTCAGCCCAGCATCAATGCCTCAGGTGGGAACTTCAGTGGAGAGACACCTGGAGTCTCCAAATGCTGAAAAATACTCATGGAAAAGAACCCGGACATGATCCTTCTGAACGCAGTTCAGGTCAGGTGAGAAACTCGACTCTGTAATCCTAGACAGGGCAAGAACAAGTCTAGCCAACAGTTAAGCAAACCCTTACGTAAGTGAGCACAAAAGCCTTCAGTTGACAATTGTCAGTCAGAATAAATTAAGTTTCCCTCCCTCTCCCTTCTCTAAACTATCTGGAGCTGAATAGACAGTGGTCATTATGGCAAGAACCTGCGGGAGGGAAAGGGGGGTTCTGGCACGAGGTGGAGCCTACATAGTCTGGAAATCTCTCTTCCCTCTTTTTGAATATGGCACTAGGCCAGAGTGGCAAACAAGGCATTTGGAGTAGCTAAAGCCTCTGAGTGTGGGTCTGTTACCGGGGTTGGAAGACTCCCCACTAGGTAGAGTAAGCCAAATATAGAGCTTCCAAACAGCAGAATTTGGTGGCCACAGCTTGTTCTTTCTGGAGAATGGATCCATAATTCAGTTGATTCCTAACTCATAAGGTACAGCCTTGCCTTCCTGCTGGAGTAGTTATCTTGAAGGCTTGTTTAGGTTTGACATATCATGTCTTAAATATTTGCTGTTAGGAATTTACTGACTTGCCAGAAATAGGACAGTGAATTTTGCAACACTTCCTTTGAGCAAGCAGACATCAGGGTGAAACCACCTCCCTCAGCGTAGATCCACAAGGCTTAGAATCGAATTCTACTGAACTACGCTCTATGGGAACGATAAAATGCAGAGAGAAAATGGTAGGAGAAAAATTATTTGGCATTTGGTTGCTACCAGAAGAAATAAATATGTCTTGTCACTTCTTCCATTTTGAAAATAAATAAAGACTAACTGATAAAAGTGTAGAGGCCGGTATTATTGATAGGTACAGCTAGAATGATATGTCAAAGTGTATCATCATAGGTAAGACTAATTTTTTTTCCTGCTTCCCTGAAAAATATGTTATGGTATAAGAAAAATGATGTAGTCTCTAGAGATAAATGGGTTATTGAAGGAATGAGTCTTTTGATAGTAAAAATTAGCAAGAACGTGTCTTTCTGTCAGTAGAGAACTTCCAGTGACACTGCTATCCCTTGACCCCAAATCTAACTGAGTGCGTGACTCTGGGTTCCCATTCAGGCTGAAGCAAGAGCCACGACTGTATGAGCATTCTCCACATTTTCAAGCTGGCACATAGTTTTAAAAAGAATCTCAGTTGCTACAGTTCTATTCTATCTATAAGTGCTACACCGTACCTTCTTTGAAAACTTTTTGCTGTTTTATTGCATTTTAGAGCTAAGCAAGGTCTTTATTATTATGAAACCCAACCCTCTCACTTTATGCATGAGGAAACGGAGGCTCTGGGGGTTCAGTGCTGATGGTCACCCAGATGAGTGGTGACAGAGCCTGTACTAGGATGTGTGCTGCCACATCAGAGGTTCTTCCTTTTCTGGTCAAGAGCTATTTTTTCCCTCTGCTGTCCTCACCTCCCTTTAAAGACCCCAATGTGGCTAAAAAAAAAAAAGAGAGAGAAAAGTAGAGGCACCGGCATTTGTTTGAAATGAGCACACCAACATTACTCTGGGTGGAAAAGCCAGAGAAAGATATTTAAAGAGGAGAAAGTTTATGTTTTACTTATTTTAGTTCCTATACTGGATCTTTCATTCAGGTATATTCCTCCTGAGTTTCACCTTACTGGAAATTTTTCCCCTATGTCCTTTATTTTTAAAATCAAAATGAAACTTAGTTGTAACAAGTCACTGTCAGTTCTTATTTATCTGTTAAGGAATGATTTTTCTTCTCTGAATTTGGAGTGAGCCTTACCACATGCTCTACTCTTGCTTTTGAGACAAAGTTGATCATTTAATTTCACTTGAGACTACTTTTCTTTGAATTGTCCAAAAATATCACAAGCTTGCTAAAGAGAATATGGTTCTTTTAAAGTTCCCCTCGAGCACCTAGGCTGAAGTAGGTGTAGTCCATGTGAAAGATAGTAAAACAGGTTAAAAAGAAAAGGTAAAGACCTCAGGCTTCCTACCTGGAGATATGAGAACAGCAGATGAAAACAAAGCAATCTCCTCCTCAGTCAGCTGCAAGGAGCACAAATTCTTTGCAAAGTCAAATGCTTCATTCACTAGGTCATCAGAACCTATATAAAAAAGGCAAATTAAAAGAAAACACTTGATTGGAATGCGCAATAGTAAGAAAAGTCCCCAAATCAAAAAGTTATTCAAGGTTTTACCTAGTAGGTACATAGAAAAATATTTCCAAGTTTCTATCCATAAGAAGTGATTTAGTAGTAATCATAGAACAAGGAATCTGGGCAACATCTTGTCCAGATAATGGAAGTGAATATTACCAATAAGGGGCAGATGGAAATGGTATGTAATATCCAAGTGGGACTATATAGCTCAACTCTAACTGTCTAACTTTGAAATTAGTTCCAACTAAAAAAAATTAAATAAGTGACTTGGGGATCCTTTAGTATAGAGACAGCTTTCATAGAAAACCTAAAACATTCTGTATAGGGGCTGAGAGCTATCAATCTTGGTGGCACTTGAGCCTGGTAATGTAGGGGGTCCAGGAGCCTCAAACTGAGATGTTAGAAACCAATAGAGCAGAGATGAGGTACCTTTCAATTTGGTAAATTCTCCGGAAATTTGATTGAGGAACAAGCATTCATTTATTTTTACCTTCTAATGAATGATTTGCAAGCCAGTTGCTTAGCCATTGTGAATTTTGGCAAAATAATGCTTTATCCCTAAACTGATCCTTGGTAAATGTTTATTTTATGAAGCTGGAAATATCCCCAAGTTGCTTGCCAAGGCTTTTCCTCCTTTCTTGAAAATCTAGCCTTGGAGATGACATGGATGTGTATCAGCTGCAGAAGGAAACACTGCCAGCCCCGATGGCGCTGTTGCCTGCATATCACCTAACAGCACAAGAGGTCAAAGGGCGGTGGCCTTCTTGGATGTCCGGGCAGGATATGGAACAAATGGTACTGTCAGTCATTAAAACCTTTCCTGGCATTAGCCCATCTTTGTTAACGTTCTCCTTATCCTAGCCTTGTGCTGATGACTGATGCGAATGATCCACAGACTTCCACAGAGTGACTCTGATCGTGCCCTCCCACGAGCATGGCCTGGGGGTCATTCTGGGCAGGTTGACACCCACTCTTTCTGTGGTTTCAGACTTCATGAGTTAACAGGGAGAGAATCACCTCCCTGAGTGAGAAATAAATGAAGGAACCCCTCTTTTAACTATCTTACCTAATGATTATGAATTAACAAAAAAATGTAAGAGGTCACCCCATGGATCACCAGTGGTCCACGTAATGTATTTGTGAAGCAGTAAGCTAGAAGGTAAAAGGAAAGCTGACCCTACAAAGAATAACCTATACTGCATCCCAGACCTTTTAGAAAGAGTCTTCATTGATTTCCGAATGAGCCCTGGTCAGTCTCAATAGGGTTCACGGTTCTCTCCTTCCTTTCATATTTGGATGCATAATTACAAGATCTGAAGAGTTAGACAAAACACTGGAGGCCCACCTAATGCAACCCTTATCAGAAGTGATTTACTAGCTCACATTAAAGAATCAAGTTATTTCATTTACCAACTTCAAGCTGAGTGGAGAAACTGCAGGTAGCCAATAAAACTGTGTCATCATCAAAGGTAAACTTACCTAAGGCTTTGAACATTTGCATTCCTCCATATTTTCCTTCAAACAGAACAGTGTTGTTTAATGGGTTGAAGGCACGGCACATTCTCACTAAAACCACTTCCAAGCAACCTATGAGTAAAAACAACAACGAAACTATGCGTAATGTATGCAGCCATAAAGAGGTTATTACTGCATATAGGTCAAGAGACTTTCAAAAACTTTAAAACACGCACACAGACACATATAGACACACATATACAGAAATCCTTCAAGATTCCTTCCCAAGTAAAACTACCTATTTTAGAAAGACAGCTCTCTTGATGCTTATGTGAGGAATTAAAGAGAAAATACACTTAAAAGGTGGCTCAAGTGGAGGGAAGAAACATTTTTTAAAGCGGTATTTCTATTTTTTGTCTAATATTAAAGTTAGTTTCAGCTCTTGCATTCACAGGTGATGGTAGTGACCCAGAAAGGAGCTGTGCGGCAGGCAAGCCCAGGTTGCTAACTTTTGTAGATAATTTGATATTGGGAAAACTAGCTGCCTGCTTTCAGTTGACATATTCTGTGTACATTTTAGCACTTGATGACTTTAAATAGGGACTCCCTCAGTGTATTTCTTGGGGCACCATTATATCTGATGTTTTTTGAAATGAGAGTTTCTTGGTCAAATAAGTTTTGGCAAAATGCCGAATATTATGTCTCTCCAGAGAGAAATGAATTATGGGAGGAATGAGTCTGAACAATCACAGATCAAAGGCTTGGAGAAGTTCCAACATGAAGGAGCTTGTTCAGCCTTGAGAGACCTGGCATTTTTCTGACTTCACTGTTAGCCCGATGAGGACAGGACCCTTGCCTGCAGCCATAGGCATTTTAGCCATAGGTTATTTTAGCCACTCATTTATTTCCATGACCTAATAAAGTCTCTGGCACATAGTAGGTGCTTAATAAATATTTATTGAATGAGTTTACTACCTTTGTTTTTTCCTCCTGAACATTTATTGACATCCTGAGGAGCTACTGCTGCACAGCTTCTCCTCATTTTGGAGAAATGGGATTTCGCCCCGTAGAGTGTTGGAAGGTGACAGCTAGACTCAGCAGCCACAAGTTTGCATGAGGGCATCATATAGGTAACTTGGTCACACTTGTGGTGTACCCAGGGGTACCCATGGTGCTCTCCTTATGCTGCTACTTTATATTTATATCTCTGTGTTATTTCTTTTGTTCTGCTGATTTCTCTCCCTCATATGTGACCTAGAATAGGGGCTTACACATAGGAGGGGATTTGTAAATATTAATTGAAACGATGTTTTTCTAACAAAAACAATAGGTACCATTTATTATCTACAATGTGGAAGGCAATTTCTGTTGCCCCTTACATTCATTATTTTATTTGCTCCTTACAATACCACCTCAGGTAAGTTTTATTAGCCCCTTTCTATGGATGAGTTACAGGAGGCTTAAAGATAGGTTAAGTTTTCTGCCTTTTATATTAAAGTTAACATTTTTACAGTAGGCAGAGATGATAAAAATTATATGACCCAATGGTTCCCGAATGTCAGTCTGTGGACCAGTTGTATCTGAGACTTAGTAAAAAATGAAATAAACTGGGTTCCCTTCTAGGAGATTCATATTCCATGGGCCTCAGATGTTGCCTGTGACTGAGAACAGTGAGTAACCTCCTCCGATGCTGTGGATGCAGTTCTAACTTCAGAATTCATTATTTCTGGCTCATCTCTTTATTTTTCATCTAGAGAGTTTAGCTCAAGGTCACATATCAAGTGTGGTGGATTTTATTTTTCAAAGAAAGTCACAAAAATATCTACCATTCCACATGTTTTCTAGAGCCTTACCACTCTCCCATGAAGAAGTAGAGTCCATGTCTCCTACCCTTGAGCCCAGGTGGCCTTCATGACTGCATCCAGTAGTAATAACATCGTCTACCTTCTGAAGCTAAGTCAGAGAAATGCCATGTCCTTCTGTCTTGCTCTCTTGCAGTGCTAGCTTTTGAAACCTAGGAACTATTCTGTGAGAAAGTCCAAGCAGCCTATGGAGAGGCTCCCATGGATAAGAACCGAGGTGCCCAGGCCAGATCCTTGGTTGAATTCTGGGCTGTTAACCAGCACAAATTGTCAGCCACATGAGTGAACCATTTTGAAAGTGGATTCTCTTGCCTCCTCCCCACCTCCCCCATCAAGTTGCCTCAGTGAGCAGGACAAGCCATCCCTGCTGAGCCTTGCTCAAATTGTAGCTTTGGGAGAGCAAAAGAAATGATTATTGTTGTTTGAACTAGTTTTGGTGTTGTTTTTACCCAGCAGTAGGTAACTGATATATCAAGTTAATGTTTGAGTCAAGATTTACACCCTCCTGTATCATTTGGTAAAGAAGCAGCAGGAACTTAGAATAACTTAGAATTCTATGTGGCCCAAGTTCAAATGCCATCTTTGCTGTCTATTGGCTTTGTGATACTGAACATAGCCCTTCACTCCTAACAACCTTTACTTCCTTTTCTATAAAATGGAAACAATACCGATCTCACAAGATTAAATGAGATATCATAGGTAAACATAAACATATTTATGTATGCTATTATAGATATAAGGGTATATCATTTATCATTATTGTTACTATGGCCCAGGATCATGGAGGTTAACGTACACTGAATGGTGGTTCTTGTCTTCGGTTTTCAAATAGGGCAAAGAAAGACAAATACTTTTTTTTTTCCTGTTTGGGTGATAGCATCTGTAAAGTCAATCATATGCAGTTTCTTGAGCTACTTCCTAATTGTGTGTGTGTCAGAGTATATGTGAGAGAAGGGGGAGAGAAAGATGAGAGCATGGTGGAGTTTCTGCCGGTGTATTCTGGCTGCAGGCTATCCTCATTAAAATGATTGGAAATGACCACAGAGGCAGAGCTCAGCTAGCCTGGATTTTTCTACCCCCACCAACAGAAGGCAAGAAGTACATTTTAGAGCCAGCTCAGCAATTCAGCCACCTTGACACGCTAATTACTTGCACTGCCTGTCAAGCTGGGTATCTCAACCTTCACAATTAATAGCTCTCCTTTCAATAAGCAAAATTGTATTTGATTTCAAAGGGGATCTGAATGAGCATCAGGGCGTTTTTATTGCTGAGAATTTCCTTTGGGAGTTGGCTGACAGCGTGGGTGGTAAAAATGAGGTACTCATTGGAAGGAGGATTTTTCTAGAACCAACATTGAGCTCAGGGTTGACCACATCCTGGCCTAAAACAGGCCCACCCCATGAATCTTCTCCTCACTTACCTGACTTCAGAAGTAGAATCTGATCGTTTTGACAGAGTTCCATAAAGCCTGTTATTCGCTTTGCAAACTCTACCACGTACTGGATGGCGTGAGTGATCTGGATGGCACATTGCTGCCATAGTGCTTCCCTGGACTTCAAGAGAGAAAAGACAGAATGCACATGGAGCAAAGAACAACCTGGAGAGCCAATGAAGTATTCAGGGTCGCCCTACTGTGCTTACCTGTCACTTAGGGAGCAAGGTGGGAGTTTACTGGATTCCTTTACAAGAGGTAGACAATATTTTCGAAGATATTGTTTTGACCTGTTTGAACTTTGATACACCACAATGATCAAAGTATTGAGGCTACAATCATGGAAACATTATAATAGCATGTGAAGATAGCTATTTATAGTTTCCTTACTTTCCCCTCTCCTCTTCCTCCATCACCTCATCTAAATAAACTCAAGCTCTTAGTCCATTTTGTGAAAACAAACTCTTGCACTGAGGAATACTGATTTCATTCACAGGCTTTTATAAGGTTATTTTCATGTGTACCTGATGGACACTAGTAATATTTTTATTCTGTGTTCTTTTCATAGAACTTACAGAGTTTTTTTGGTATAAAATGAATTTCAAGGGAAAATGTATCAAATAAAATTGCTCTCTTAAGTAATATCGAATCCCAGAAATGTATTTTGCTCTCTGGGTTATTAATCTTGGGATGAGAAACATAAATCCAACTGTGTTAATTCTGGTTTTCATTGACTGTAACTATGCTTTTGTCCTTATATTCATACAGAAGTGGTAAGATTTAATTGTTCCAATATATGTTGTAATTATATATTTAGACACAGACACATTTATACATTTAATTAAAATTTCATTTATTGGTAGAACTTATAATTAAGGATCTCAATCTCAAAGATATTTTGATCGTCATAATTGTGTGTGAGGAGGCATACGACTGGCATCTAGTGGGTAAGACCAAGGATGCTGCTAAACATCCTACAATGCGTAGGACAGTCCCTACAGCAAAGAATTGTCCAGCCCCAAATGTCAGTACTTCTGAGGTTGAGAAAGCCAAAAATAGAAAAACTACAGGAAAACTGTAGTTTTCCAGAGTACCTTGCTCTGATACGCTTTAATTTCTTCGTAAGTGTGGGTCTGCCACGCCAGCTGGTGGAGCTCCTCCATGGTGTATTGACACGTCTCCAAATGGGACTTAATGATGTTCTGTGCAATTCGATCTAAGAAAAAAAGATCAATCAATTTGAGGGTTTGTAAATGAAATCCCACTCTGCTCAAAGAAACCTGCTCTTAATGTGTTTGCTATGGGAATGCCTTTTGGAGGTACTTCAATTATATTAGAGGTTTTTTTGTTGTTTTTTTAACACTACTATCTATTTTTAAAATCTTTAGACAAACTCTTTATTGTCTATTTTCAATTTTCAACCTCTTAATCAAAATTTACTGCCTTTTTCTTCTCTGACTGATTACACACCTAGGTCTTACAAGTTGTAAAGTGTTCAAATAATTAGTTATTTTAAAAATAAATACAAATTACCATGGCTCTTGCTTTTGGCTTAAAATTCCCCTAACAGTCTTAACATTTACACTCCAAATATTTTAAAATGTTTGAAAATCCTGGAACCCCCCCCATTGTTTATCTCAGAAAGGGGGAATTAAAATACAAATGTATTTGCTCATATTTTTAAAAGGGGAGGATTAAGCAATAATCTAAAAAAAATAGTTTTCTGTGGAGGAAGGAGAGTAGAGTAGAGGGACAGGGATAGAAGCCAGACTTCTCTGATGATATTATTTTTGTATATTTGGCTTTGGAACCATGTAGATATCTTACATAATTAGTAACAGGAGAGGAGTTACAGATGAAATAATAGGACTCATGAGTTATTGAAGTTGGGTCATGGGGGCATTATATTCTCCTTTATAATTTTTTATATAATGAATTTTTTTCTTTAAAAGAGAGAAAATGATTATATTCATTAAAAAAGTGGTAACAAACATAATCGGTCTTTTGGGGCCATTTATTCCAAATGAATTGCATTTGGTATTGTATCTTAAATACTGATGACTTTGGGTTTGGAGGTATGAAATTTGAACAACAGAACCAGACAAAAGAGTGCTTCTTAAAAACCTACTGTGAATCCCCTGAAGTTGGACAGAGCTGGTAGGACAGTCCCTCCTAATTCCATCTGCTGCTGGAACATATGAACAAGGTAATATCTTAGGAAACCAAAGTACACAGGAATTCTGTATGTGGGGTGTGAGTAGAATGAAGATGATGACTGATTTTCAGCTTAATGACTGTTCTTGGCTCATACAGAAATGGAATTTTTCTTGTGTTTCAATTTGTGCCATTTCAAATGTAATATCTTCTATGGCAATTTTTTTTCTCCTAAATAGCAATTTTTTTTTTTTATTTCTCCAAGATAATCTCAAAGTAGTACTTAGAACTTTTTTCATACCTTGCTAAGATTCTGGTATATATGGTGTGAAATAAATTGAGTTTTAGTGATGGAGAGAATAAAAAATGTAAGCTTATTAAACTTCTAATTAACTTTCCAAATAAAATAATCTCATATAGCCCATTGCCTGGCATATTATAAACACTGAATAAATAAATTACCATTATTAGGACATTCTATATAGTTTGTCATTAGGGAAGCAGTGTGATGACTCCATTGGAAATAGAGCAAAGAAATTTAATTTTGGAATCACTGCTACACTAAGGAAGATATTTCAATATTTACTAGACTTTCTCAATCAGAACTATAAAGTGGTAGATGTTGAAGGTGCTACAAATGCTAACTTATGATTATAGTTATGCTCTATCTGATTCAGCATTGAGCATTTCTAGGCTTTCATGGCTTATTATCTTATAAAATACTTTCTTGAAAAATCCTATATTCAAAATTTTATTGAATATCCTCTTGTATTGTAAAAAAGGGCAGGAACTACCCTATACATCATATTAAAATAGATTGGTATGTCATGGTTTATCATTTTTCAATTTCACTTGGGCAGTCTAATTACTTAGAATAGAAAAAAACACATATCTATTCCTGGGTAGGTATATAATGAAAACAAAGATTTTTATAGCTCTATAGTTTTCAAAATTTTATCTTCTTGGTGTAGTTTGCTTTCATCTTCAAAGATATGCTGATTTGTCAGTAATTTATAGGCTTCAGGGTTTATAAGCAAAACTACAATTGCTGCTCAAAATTGCATTCTGAAAAACTCTTTATCTGTTTATGACACATCTGGGGAACTGTTGGCCAAAGTTTTAGAATCCTCTAGTCTTCTGCCACCAAAGCTTAGGGTTTTGTGGAGTATGAGGAGTGGGCATAATAAACAGGTGGGCAAGTTAAGCAAAATTGGAAGTTAAACCCACATGCATGCTTTAGGACTCAGCTCAGATGTCCATTCCTGGTGACAGTCTCCCTGCTTTTCTATGTCCTTAGATAGTAGGGCCAGCGGCCATTACACTTTAAAAAATATATGTATATATCTTTATTGATTTCAGAGAGAGGGAGAGAGAGAGAGAGATAGAAACATCAATGATGAGAGAGTCATTGATTGGCTGCCTCCTGCACGCCCCCTACTGGGGATGGAGCCCGCAACCCGGGCATGTGCCCTGACCTGGAATCGAACCATGATCTCCTAGATCATAGGTAAATGCTCAACCACTGAGCCAAGCCAGTCAGGCTACCATTACACTTTGATTCTACTTCCAATTAAACCCTCCAATTAAACTAATCAGGTTCACATTGTGGTTATTTGTGTGGATTTTGTTTGTTCCATGCCCTTCAAGATTGTGAGCTCTTCAATAACTAGACTGCAGAGCCCAGCATAGTGCCTTCATATATTCATTCAGCAAACAGTTTTTGAGAAACTATTATAAGCCAGGTTCAGGTACAGATTTTTAAAAAGACTTTCTTTTCAGGATCTTGCAATAGTAGCATATCATATCATGATGTAATAAATGCCTTGAGTTATTGTGGGATCCCAAAGAAGAAAGTATCTAACTCAATCTGGGGAGGCAGAAAAATAAACACAGAGAAGATGCCAGTTGACCTGGGTCTGAGTAGGAGTTTGTCACACGAAGAAGAGAAAGATGAACCTCAGGTGGAGGGAATGACATTACAAAGGATAGATAGAAAAACTGGCTATTGGCTTGATAATTCCTGACATTCTATTTTATATCTTCACAACCCTTACCTTTTAGAACCAATTTCCCTTTTACTGAGGAAAAATATGAGGTTCAGAGTGAGTGACTCTAGACCCATTTTTACAGAGGTAGCAAATGGTGTTTTGAAATTGAGTCTGTCTTTTCTAGCAAGAAGTCTATAGTGTTTGCAGCATAGGATGCATGGAAGAGATAAGGGGATATAAGGCTAGGGATGGAAACTGTGACTTGAGACTGAAGAGCTGAGAAAGGAACTTGGATTTTATCTTGTAGGCATGTGAGAGTTTGTGGAATCTGTGAAACAGAGGAGTGATGTGGTGGGGTTTTGGCTTTAGAAAAATGGTCCTGGTCATGGCAAAGAAGAGGAGATGGAATTAGAGAGTATATGAGATTCATCAGGCTGCTGTGAAAATTCAAGCAAGATCTGAGGAGGCTATGTACTAGGGAAGAATGACAGAGATGGAGTGGAGGGGCTGGACTCAAGACAATTCTGAAGGAGGGTGCTGCACAGAAACCGAGAGAGAGACACAGAGAGAGAGAGAGAGAGAGAGAGAGAGAGAGAGAGAGAGAGAGAACATTCAATATGGGAGGTGCTCAGCCAATGCTGAGTTAGTAAAAATAATGTTAAAAATGTCTGTCCATCCATCTATCCTTCCTTCTATCCTTCCATTTTCTGCTCTATTTCCCAAAGGATTTTAACAAGCTTAGATTGAGCATTTGTTTAATGATTTTAAAGCCTAAGCACTTACAATGGCTTTGATGTCAAACATTAAACATGCATAATTATTTCCCATACTCTTGTGGGGAGAAACAAAAGGCAAATCTCTTTTTGACATAAGACTTGTAAACAGCAATGAAAGCTCAGACACTGTTGCAGAAGCAGCCCTCCTCCACTTCCTCCAATGAGTCTACAGAGCAAAGGTGAGCCACGTGCAAAAACCTGACTTGTGCAAAAACCTGACTTGACCCTCTTAAAGCTCAGATCAATAAACCACAAGGTAAAGCTAGACTTGGTCCCATAGGAGCAAGGCCTGAGGGCTCATTCTGCCAAGTAGAAAGATGCACAACCGAGAAGACGGTCTGCTTGAACTGAGAGTCTGCAGTTGTGAAAAGGGGAGAAAGATTTAAAAAGAAGGGACAAAGGGAGAGACAATGAATACAGTATGCAAAGTTCCTGCTGGGAGCCAAAGGAACTTTCAAGAGTCCTTGCCTGGAAAAATAGAAAAGGTAATAGTAAACGCTATCATCTCCAGGGACCAACCACATGAGAAAGTCCAGACAAAGAGACTGAGGTAAAAGAGCAGAGGATGCGGAATCTTTCTGGGCAATCACATACCCTTCATCCGTTTCCCTGACTTGGATTGCAGTTGCTCTCAGAGCCCAGTTTTTGTCGGACTCTTTGCCTTGGGCTGCAGGAGGCCCATGTTGGAGTCGGCACGCAGGGCGCTGGGATAATGGGTCCAACGGGAGCGTGGCCACGCGACTGACTCATGGGAAATCTACCACCTGCAGGGGTGAGGCCATGGGCCCTACACTCTGCTCTTCCTAAAACCAGGGACCGGGCTAGAGATTTCTTAAGTGGAAAATAAAATGCAGTTAACATCTCAGAAGTTAAGATTCTGTATATATGTTCAGTGAGAGAGGTTTGTCCAACCACCAAGAGTATGTGGGCTGCCCTGACAGTTAATAAAATGATATCAAGGACTGAGAAAAATAATTTTACATGCTCAGTTCAGTCACTTCTTTCAATCATGATGAGATAAAATGTAAATATTGATGCTGGCAAGGGAAAACTGGGTGTGTGATTACAGGTTTATATTAAGTCCATGATCCTTATTTTCTATTGTTAATTTCATGAACAAAAGCTTGTTCTCACTTTCTCTCTCTCTTCTATTTCCCCATGTAAATGTATATAATTATTGAAAAATAAAATTGCTATTTTGTTTTTAGATTTTTGACACTGATACTTTTTTTTGAAGGAAGGCTTATTGGAACCTAAGACTTATAAACAATTAATAAAATTTGTAACTTCATGTATTA